CGCTGGGAAACGAGTATGTGGCTTACGGACTCGGTTGACAGCACCTGCTGAGGAGACTCCAAGTACAGCCAAGACCACTATGAAGGCGCGATGACGCTTTCATCACGTCGATGAGGCCTCTTCCCCAGCAAGGGTTCAACGTAATAGCCCGAATTCCTGAACGCGAAACCCGGAACTATGTGTTCAATGAACCTCAAGGCAGAAACCCTGCAGTCGAGAAGTACGGCTGGTTCCTACCATCTTGGTTTCAGAGCAGAAGATAAGGGGTTACGATAGCACCTCCCGCCCCAAAAGGTACCGCAGCTGCGTTTAAGCAGCTACTAAGGACTAAAAGGGGCTTGAAGCCGAATAGGATTCGAAAACTGGAGAGGTGGGTGTACCTTTCGGGGGGGGGGGTTTACTATGATAATCCCTTAGAATAAGAAATCCGGGTACTTCAACTGCCAGCTTGCCATGTCAAAGGGTAAAGCGATAATAAGCAACGGCAAAAATTGGAGTTGCAGAATGGTTGAGATTTAGGGATTAGGGTTGTAGGTAGGTAGTATGGGTTTAAGGTTTAAGGCATGGACTTGAGTCCATGAAGTTGACTAGTGACAGTTTTCAAAAACACTACAAGGGGCGGGCCTCTTGTCGCAGCTGTTCAGCCTCCGTTGCACTTCTGCCAAAGAACTGTTGCTGCTGCTATTGCCGCTGCTTCCAAATGCCTATCTGATAGCCTATCTCAGTCTGCGGGACACAGAAGGCAAAGGGTATGGCAGTCGCCTGTTTCATGGCTACCGTTGACTACTTGGTGCCTCTGTGCATCTGAGTCTGGCTTGATTCAGCTGCTGTTGTGGCCTCCTCACATGAAACACAATGAAGTGCATGGGATCACGTAAATGAAAACGAAGCACACAGCAAAAAAAAGAGTGCTGATGGCAAGATAAGAAATACGGCAACCATCTTCTAGCCGGTCTTTGGCTAGCTAGGAATGGGGTAATGGATCCTGATAATAGTCCGTATACAACCCATTATAGTAGTTTCCATTTTCTTTTCCATCCCAGCCAACCAAGGCCAGCTAGCTTCTGCTCGGGAATCTCCCTTGTCATCTGTTGCCTAGCTCTTGAATTCTGACTCTACTGACTGCTCGCGGCTGGCCTCTCGCTGAAGCTGCACCGACATTGCCTGCCACAACGCTTACAAACTCAAACCACAACCCTCTGCAGGCTGAACACCTCTTGCATGCGCGACATAGCTTAGGTGGACCCCCCACCCAGTAATAGTGACTATAAGGAAGAATAAGGATTATATTAGGGTCCTCTTATATTCCAATTATACCACTATTACAGGGTGGGGGGTCCTCCTAAGACATAGCTTGTTTATCTTCAGTTTGTGTTGCAACGAAGATGATACCTGCTGTAGCAGCTTGCACATTCATCTTCACAAACCATATCCATTTTGGACAGCCATTGCATAGGCTTTGCGTGCTTGCTATGACTGACTCTGACGCGCCAAGAATTTGGCGCCAAGAATTTGGAATCCATGTTATCCCGAGATCTCTTCAATATCTTGTCTTAACAGACCCCCGGGAACCCAGACCCCAACACTGATCCCTAAATTCGAGTGTAGAGCCCTGAAGCCTTAACGCGAAATGGCATGCTTCCTGTAAGCCTCATTACGTATACCATAGCCAAAACCCAATTCTAATCAAACAAATGGGCCCAACGTCACCATCCCTATGAGGCCCTATGCATTCCCGGCGTCCATTTCATGTTCCGTTTGTTTTTTGCAGCTGATTCTCACGTGTTCTCATTCTTTAAAGGCCTAAACCCTACCCCGGGCCAAAACCCTACAACTCAAAAACTCATAAACATAGTTTCGATCTTCTATTCCGCTCCCCCTAAACCATGTATGTCCCTGTATCATCCATTCTGAAAGGAGCCACCTACAGTGAACTCGAGCGTCCAAACTCCAATTCCTAAACCCTAGGCAAAGCCTAAGCAAACCCTAAGCCCTAAGCCCTCAACAGCCAAGCGGTTTAGGGTTTAGGGTTAAGGGCTCCAAGCCCCAAGCCCTAAATACCCTGAGTCGCGTGATACCGAACCCTAAAGCCGTAACCCTAAACTCCTAAACCCTCAACCCCAAGCCCCTAAACCCCAAACCCTTAAACCCTCAACCCCAAACCCTAAACCCCAAACCCTAACACCTAAGCCTGACCCCAAAAACCTCAACCCCCCAAAACCCTAAGACCCAAACCCTAAAGCCCCAACGCCTAAACCCCAAAACCCTTAACCCTTACACCTACACCCTAAAACCCCAAAACCTCAAAACCCCAACAACCCTACCACCTAAGCCCTAAAACCACATATCACCCCTATGTAACCCCTATATAACCCCTAGAAAACCCTTTTAAAGCCTAATTTTGAGAAGTTCAGGATGCTGGGCCTCAGCCTGCTGCCGCGCGGCCTGGGCCTCCCTGGCAAGAGAGCGAAGTGGATCACTGATGGAGAGGCTTCCAAAGGGATTATGGCTTAAGGGCTTTAAGGGTTTAGGGGTTTAAGGGGTATAGGAGTTTAGTGGTTTGAGGGGTTTAAGGTCTAAAGTTTAAGGTTTAGGGTTTAGGGCTTAGGGGGGCTTAGGAATTATGTTGGGACATTCAGGGGCTCTGGAAATTATATGTTTCACCATTTTGAAGATTGTAGGAAGTGCTGAGGAGCATGAAGGAGGCGTAGGGTTTGCATATTGAATTGGGATTTAGTGGGGTGCAAAGCTTCCAACACAGCGGGTGGTCCGTTTGCGGAAAGCCTACTATGGGGATTATAGCATTTCTGCATCAGTAAGGCATACCCCCCCCCCCATTTTCGAATACTATCCTAAACCCTAAATCCCAAACCCATAAATCCCAACTCCCTAAGCCCTAAAGGGCTCCGAAATGATGATACTTGTTGTGATACTGCCACTTGGCAGTGTGCTCCTTCCCAGCTGGTAGGAAAGCGCTGGCACATGACGGCAACCACAAGTCACCAACTACTGTGGCTGCTTCCCGGTCTGCCGCTAGCACTACTGATACGTTTAGGGTTTGGGGCTTAGGGTGTAGGGGTCCCTCTTGAAGGGGCGATAGGGGGTGTATAGGGATATATAGGGCTTAGCGTTTACGGATATTACCCCGACAATGGAGAATCAAATGGAAAGAAAATGGAAACTGAAATGGAAACTGTGATTTCATTTTTGGTGCTATGAGTGCTTATGGAGGTGGCTTTGGTGTTGACGGAGGCGTTGACGTTGGGCGGGTCGCGGTGGCGGCAGTAAGCGCGGCGGTCGCGTGGCTGCGGTGATACCATGACAAACGACAGAATCCCTCTCCATGACTTGCAAGTTCTTTCCTGAGATCCATTTACACCCCCGCAAGGCTCAAGATATACCTAAAACCCATGCAGCAGTAGGGATGATGATGCTTGGTTTGGGGGTTTAGCCGTTTTAACAAGGGTTTGTCAATGAGGGATCCCCAGTTATCCCCAGCCCTGATCATGAGACCCCGTCAGCATGATTTTGTACCCGGGGGTACATTTGCTGTTAGGAAGGTGGCAGGGTTTAGGGTTAGGGGTCCCTGACCTGAAGCACTATACCGCGTGGGGTGTCTACAATGACCTAGGGCGCAGGCGCAAGCTGCATCGTCATGCCGCCCAGCTTCTCGGCAAGCTGACAGACAAAGCCAATACGCAGTTTAGGGTCTAGGGTGTAGCGCTCAGGGTTCCAGGGTGTAGGCTCTAGTGTTGACTCCCACTGCCTTTTTGTAATAAGGAATGAAGGAATGGAAAAGAAAATGGAAACTAATGTATGTTGGGAGACGATATGGAGGCTACAGTGGAGACCCATTCCTCGATGCCCTGCTTGAATTTCAATTTCTAGAGGGCTTGGTTCCGGCTCGGGATTAAAAGTTTTGTTCGCGGTTTTGGATTTGGGGTTCAGAGTCTGTTTGGGGCTGTGGTCCCCCTTAAGTAGATAGAATATGGCTTTGGGTATACTATAACAAGATCCCAATATACACTACATTTTATCTACTTAAGGGGGACTATAGAATTTTCAAACCAATCCGGAGCGGAAGGTTTAGGGAACTTGGAGCGGCTCTCAACTTCTGGATCTGCTTCACTTGCACGAGGGCTGCATCATATGATGAGATGTGGTAGTTTCCCAGAAAAAGGGAACTCCAATATAGTCCTTATTATAGGGACCCCCAACAAGGTACCCTTAGTTTTGGGAAACCCTCATGTGGAGATCTGGCAGGAGCTACGTAGGGATCCTGCATGGGGTACGTCCCTAAACTGTAATCCTGAATCCCAAAGCCTGCACCCTAGATCCCAAACCCTAATTTATGTGAGCTATAGTCGAAACTCCAAGTATCCCCCTTAATAACCCCCATAGTAGTCCCCTATATGATCCTCTTTATAATCCCCTTTAAGGAGTTTAGACTGTAGCTCATGCAGGAGTTGTAAACCCTAACCCTATTTGTTTGCCATCCTGGATGCGTTGCATGCGGGCACATATGGGCATTTCTTGGCAAGTGGTCTTTTCCGATCACACCACCAGGCACGTAGCCCCAGAAGGGCATGAGCTCTTCTAGATGGCAGTGGAGATTGTAGGTGCAAATTTCGATATATAATGGACCTTATTATCCTTAGGACACTGATTCCATGAATTGAGTAGCTCGCATCACGCAAACCAGCTGACAGCCAATGTTTGGGGCTTTTTGATCTCTCGCCGACGCCACTACGTAGCGCCTTGAGCAGCACCCGTGAAACAGAAAGACATGGCAGCTTCCGAACTTTGAGGCCATTTGGGGCATCGTATTTCGAATCCCAACATGTTTTGGATGTGCTAGTGCCGCCTAGATGGCTGAATTTAGGGAAGCTGCCATATGAGCATCCACCTCCTCCAGAAAAATGTCCGCGTCATTGTACAACAGCATTCTCCAGATGGGTGCGGCCACTTTGTCGCTCGAAACCTACTGTCGCGAACGCAGTTCACGCCTTCGTCTTTACCCCAAGGTCCTTCTTGATGGCCTCGGGAGGTTATATGACGTGGCGACATGCATTTTTGCGTGCCAAACTCATAACGTGCCAAGTTAAACTTACTGGTTGTCAGCTGGGAAGGAAGGAATGGAAAATGACAACCAACGGATTCTTGTGGATCATATTTGGACTACTATGAGAATCCATTCCTCCATTTTCGACTCACAACCAGCAAGTCAACCCTTAACCCTCTGCGCTTTCCCTTATATATTCCTACAAAATCCCAGGTTCTATCTCGTTTTCCTTCTATGTCCATTTGATTTTCCTTTATGAAGCAAAAATCCATCACAAACCCCACAGTATCTATTTCTATACTATACTCCCTTAACCCTAAAACCCTAAACCTACAATCCCCAGATGCCTCGTAGGTCATGCCATCCTTCTTCAAACTCCGCACTTTGGCCCTCAGCTTCACCCAGTTCCAACCTCGCTCCTTGAGGGCGGCTTTCCACTTGTCGAACTTGTCCTGCGCCCAAGGTTTGAACCAGGGGCCCTTAAAGGGTTTAGGGTTTAGGTTTAGGGTCCGTATATTATATCTATTATATACCTATGGACCCCCTACAAGCCCAATTCAAGGCCCACAGTTAGGACCCAGGAAACATATGAGGGCTGAGATTAGAGGCCCATAGCTTTGAATCATAGAGTCCTACAGAGGTTAAGGGTCTAGGGCTTCTGGTGTAGGATTTCGGATTCAGGGTCTAGGGCTTAGGTTCTGGGGTTCATGCAGATTATCTGGTGAGGATTTGCCAAAAACCTCCACGTGCCCTGTGTAGGTCACGGGTCCTGCCACATCTTATCCCGCTCCTTCTTTTCCTTCTTCGTGAGGGAGCTGGCAGGCTTCCTTGCTGTTGATTGGAAGGGAACGGAGGAAGGTGACTACAGGTGGTTTTGATATGGTCACGGTAACCCTAAACCCTAAACCCTTAACTCTGAACCATTACAACCCAAAACCCCTAAACCCCGTCCTTCAGGTCACTCACGCTAAGTTTGGAGGCAAGAGATGAACGGATACAGCAGTCCCTCCACTCGAGTCGGCTTTAGAAAATGGATTCTTTACAGAAATAACTTTGTCAAGAATCACTACAGCCCGTTGCCTCGATACCCAAACCCCAAATCCTAAACCCTAAATACCAAATCCTAAACCCGAAATCCTAAACCCTAAATACTAAATCCTAAACCCGAAATCCTAAACCCTAAATACTAAATCCTAAGCAACAAGCTTCGTGCGGCCGCGTGAGCTTATAGTGGCGGCAATGGCAAAAGCCTCCGCCTGGCCTGTGTGTTTAGGGTTTAGGGGCTAGGGTTTTGGATTTAGGGTCTGGGGTTTAGGGTTTAGGGCTGGGGTGTAGGGTCTAGGGGCTAGGGTCAAGGGTCTAGGGCTTAGGGTCTACGTTTTAGGGCTTAGGGTAGCAGAGAAAAAGTGGGCTGATAGTGTCGCAATAGGTTGAGGTTAAGGCTTTAGTTTGCACAGTCGCCCAATTTCTGCAGTTCTAGATAGTAGTATACTGAGTGTATAGACCTGGCAGTACCTACAAGTAGTACCGCGCGTCGCTGTCGTTGGTACAAGTAAAAATTCTAGGGTTCCAAAAATAACAAGCCTAGGTTCGGAAAGTGTGCAAAGATCGGAGTTGCAAGGGAATTGGCGGGTATCATATGGGTGACACTTTGAGAACCGCCCATAGTGTTTCAGGATCACTTGGCCTTTTCCATTCACCAGCTGCCAAGCGACCATCACGTCAAAGGGGCGAAGCTCGGACCTGTAGAGAGCTCACATCATAGCCCCCAAAATATAATTAATGGACCTGGCTTCCTATTAGGGAACCACCCTTACTGGTATCTTGGTGAGCCTCATAGTGACAGTAGTTCATAACAAAGCCACGTGGACCTTCTATAAATCCTAGTCTTCCCATATAAGCCTTGTAAGCCCTATGCAAGGGATGCAAGAGTAACCGCCTAGCAAAGCCCGGCCTGAAAGTCTTCCGAGAGAAAAAAGAACATGGCCCGAGCTGATCGAGTATTGGGCGGCGTGCAAAAGTTACATGAGCTATAGTCTAAACTCCTCGTATCCCCCGTAGTAGCCCCTATAGTAGTTCCTTATATAGTCCCCTATATATACCCCTTTAAGGAGTTTAGACTATCGTACACATGCGGTCTTTCTATGTAAGTATGTAAGACCTCCCTAAACCCTAAACCCCTAAACCCTAAACCCTAAACCCCTAACCCCTAAACCCTAAACCCCTAAACCCCTAAACCCTAAACCCTAAACCCTACAAGCCTTCCTGAAGGCCCTGAGGGCTGATGAATGTCTGGTGACTTGGGGAGTGAGGTCGCGGGGCTCCCATGGTCAAGTATGATCTTAGGGTTCAGGGTTTAGGGTTTAGGGTTTTGGGCTTTGGGGGTATCTGCCGGAAGGGGTTTGATTTGAAAAATGAAGCGACCCTTGTTCTCCAAGAATCAATGCTACTAGGTTGCCGAAAGTATGCTCCCTTTGGGCAGCCTATATTGTAGTGCGAAGTACCCTAAGGTCCCAGAAAAGGGCTACAAGTTTAACAACCCTAAACCCTAAACCCTACATCCTGCAACCCTAAACCCTAGATCCTAAACCCCACAAATCGTCTTAAACCCTACACCCTAAACAGAATTGCTTTCAGCAGAGCCACTTGGAGTACACACGCGAGTAGCTCATGGCTTGCAGCTCGCGCGCTTAAAATCCGCGATGCGGCAAGCTGGTCAAATGTTGGCTCTGTGCTCTTTAGGGTTTACGGCTTTGGGGGTTAGGATTTAGGGCTTCGGGTTTTTTAGCTCTATACTCTTACCGGGCCTAGCATGATGACTACTAGTTTGCTAGCATTATTCTCTTGAGAAGCTGGTACTTACAAAGACGACGAATCACCGCGGCTGATGTGGCTACGCATACATGTTTGGCCTTTCAAGCCAGAAGCAGCAGGCAAGAGTTCCATAGATAATGATTCTGAGTACTTCCTGGTGGCAAGCAAGGAACAAGGGAAGATAGTATATTGGGATTCTATAGGGATTACATTCCCCTGTTCCCTACTAACCACCAGTAGGTACTTGGCCTGGATCGATGTCACGTGCTGCCCTTCAGATCCTTCAGAATCCCGTCTTCTCATACTTTCGAAGTGCAAGACAAGTTGGGAGTTCACGAAATGTTCCGTTTGCCCCAGGGCTTGCCGTATGGCATCAATTCTATCACCATCTATTGTCGAGGGAATCTTGTCTACATGTAGGAATCTAACCCACCCACACAGACGGTAGGGCCTCAAGCCATAGATTCTAAACTTTCGATCGGTAAGCTCCTTGACCGCGCCACCCGCAACAACTGCAACAACACCTTCCAGCGCTAGATACGCCTTCAGCTCGACTTCCTTGGCCGTCACAGCCTCGGACTCCAGCTCCTCGATGCGAGCCTTCAATCTCAGGTTGCAATCACCGGCCCCTAGTATGGGCCCTTAACCCTAGAATCCTTATATACCGACAAAAAACCCTATTTGTAACCTTAAGGGTCCCCAAAAGGCCTGAGGGCCCATACCTCTAAAATTACCTTCAAGCACCGAACCCGATCCAAGCGTGGCCCTCCAGTCTGACCAACTTCCACTTACTGGTGGTTCGCAGGGAAGAGAACATAGAGGAATTTGTTCCCTACACAATCCCTGTTTAGGGTTGAGGGTAGAATCCCTATATAATCCCCATATCATATATTCCCTTCTTCCCTACCGAACCCCCAGTAAGACTATGCGACGACCGCGGCGCCTGTAGGTGCGTAATCTGCTGCACCGCACCCATCAAGCGCGCCTGTTGTCAAGCTATGGGGCTGAAGCGTGCTGCATGGGGTTTAGGGTTTAGGGGCTGCACCACAAGTATTTCCCCACAAAGGACCCGATGGAAACTCCTGCTGTACGGGGAAACTGCTGTATAGAGAAACCCCTTCTACACCTTTTTGTCGCGCATCATCGCCCCATTGTCCTCTGGGTTCCTTGGGAAGCCCAGACTAAACGTTCACACAAGGCGACTCTTAATTTTCGTGGGCGAAGTCTAGTCAAAGACAGCGCGAAAGGGTTGTGGTTTAGGAGCAGAAACCATGCTAAACCTTTCCGCACTGCGCACTGATGATACTTCTAGGGTTTAGGGTTTAGGGGACCTCAGGCCTCTGTCGCATATCAGAGCTAGGGAATGCCATGTTATTATCATTTGCATTGCTAATATCAGTGTTGTATTTTTTTGTTAATCTGTGTTGTTATAAAAACTGCTTACGGCGAAGCCGCACGTAGTCTTATGCACATGTCGCACATTGAGGAGATGCTAAGATCATTGCAACACTCCTTTCAGATTTCTGCAAGCCGCCCTGCAGCCCCTACAGATCCCTCTTGGTGAGGGATGATGAGACACTTTGTTCCATCCAGCTCGGATCATGTGAAGAGAGCTCCTCCACGAGCATGCGAGGAGTCCTGCCAAACAGGCCGAAGGGGACGCGACACTTTAGGGTAACTAGACAAAGAGGGAACATGATCGAACAAAGGGTGACTAATTCAATCTCAGATGCGACCTATGGGCCCCTACTGCGTGCCCTTACTCTTGAGTTCTTATACCCTGCAAACCCTCCGACCCAATTAAGGGCCTATAAACAAGTTGGGCCCCAGCCCTCGAACCCTACAGGGTTTCTGACTATTTGGTCGAGCCCCGAACGCCCTCTTAAGACCCTCCCTACGGCCTCATGATGGAATATAGAATCCTTAGGAGCAGTGTTTGAGTCCTCTAGGTGGCGGAGAGCTTTCATTCAGAAGACTCAGCGCTAAGGATTTTTTGGGTTGCTATTGCTATATACCAATAGCTGCCGACCTTGGGGGCGTTTTGGATGCTTTCAGGAGACGGAAAGGGTGAAAACCCTCTTCTTTTCCCTCAGCGCTCTGGGTGCCTGAGTCCCAGGCCCCCTTGGCGCTGGGTCCCAGGCGCCTGGGGCCCGAATCCCAAAGTCCCTGAGATGCGTGGCCAAAGGTCTGGTTATGCGCAGTTCATCAACACCACGTTGGTCCTGCAGTCCCGGCAACCTGGCTTGTTGCGCCAAATTACGTCCGCGCGCAGCCACGGAAAACAGCGGCAGCCGAGCTTGAAGTAATCTTGTTGCGCATTGGTCTCGTGCCAGCCGCTGAAAACATCAAGGTTGAGAGTGGGTTAAAAGGCTGCTTTTGGTGGTTTTTGGGCCTGGGTTCCAAGTACCTGGGGGCCCGGGCCCAGACCCGGGTCCAGGCCTGTGGCACCGGCCGGTCATGCCACAAGTGTGCAGTCGTGTTGAGTAAACCCAAGCCAGGCTCTCATCAAGGCCTGGCAACCTGGCTTGTTGCGGATAGGGTTTCGTGCGCAGCCACTGCAAACAGCAAGGCTGCGGAGGGGAGTTGGCCTAGCTTGAATCAATCTTTTGATGTTTAGGATTTTGGCTTTATTGGGTTCTCCGCCTCTGGGTCGGCAGACTGAGCCGGAGGCTCTTAAAATTATGGTAACTGAATCTAAGTTCCTTAGCAGCAACCCAGATTTTTTAGCAGGTAGGGTTTCCGAGGGTCTTACGGCTCCAGGGCTCCGGTAGCAATAGCTCTGAGGGAGCCGAAGTGGAAGCCCCTCCTACATAAGCCTTAAGAGGGGCCCCTATGGCTCCTTCATAGGCCATATATGCACATCTCATGTAAGAGGGGCCTCTACTACTCCTCTATCGTCCCCATAATATGTACATATCTAAATTCATATATATATATATGTATTTATGCGATCATAAGATAGGTCCCTAAAGCCTAAGCCCTGCACTCTAAATCCTAAACCCTAAGCCCTGACCCCTAAACCCTAAACCCAAGCCCTTAACCATAAGCCCTTAACTTGAAGCCCTAAACCCCATATCCTTAGGGACCCCAGGGCTCTCAGTGCATTCAGCATCCTTGGCGGGGGAGTCTGCCGCGGCGGGGGTCGAATCTCCTTCTCTCTGATCTCGTGCTGGATGTTCCTGGCATGGCTTAGGGTTTAGGATTTAGGGTTTAGGGCTTAGGGTTTAGGGTGTAGGGTTTAGGGTGTAGGGGTCCAGGGTTTAGGGGAACCCTAAATAAACTCAAAAGATTAATTACACTCCGTATGATTGCAGGAAACTCCCAGAAGGGAACCCTCAGTTTCCGGAAACACACAGTGAGGCAAGATGAGAAACCAGGGTCATGTAGGGGTTATATAGAGATCAAAGGAACACCAAGATACCATTTTGAGCATGCCAAATTAGATACTACGAATCCTTTGAACATGCATCCCGTTGCAAAGAGGCTTAGCAAACCCTGTGGGGGAAGCCTTAGCCCTGTATGGGGGGGGGGGTGTGCAGAAATTGAGGGGTCCTGTTTTTGGGGTCTTTATAATAAAGGTTCCAAAGTTTTGGGTGTATCTTCGGGTCGCTCTAACATATCCTGAAAGTGCAAAGTCGTACGGGCCTCCGTCTTGGGTACTGAAACGCGCGGATATCGCCTCCAAGCCCACATGCACTTAGAGGTTCTGAGTTTGGGCTTTGCGCTTGCCACGCCGCAGCTAGTGCCGCATGAGGATACGGAAGCAAGTGTTTGCAGACAGCACTACTTTCATGGCAGTCACTGCGGCAGTAGGCATAAAGCTGATGCAAAGAAGGTTCGGGGCTTTAGATTTTGGGCTCCGGGATCCAAAAACAAGGGACCACTTTCAGTACCCCAAAATACTGCCAGCCCCACCAAAAGGACCCCACTAAAACTGAATTTCAGTTTTTGGTGGAAACCCTGAGATGGCAGGTCGTCAGAGCTATGATCCCGCCATAATTTTGAGAGGCCCCCAGATAGGGGCGTTTGGACCTTTACCCTAAGCCCAAACTCTAAGCCCTAAACTCTAAAGTTTGAACCCTAAACCCTAATCCCTAAACAGATAGGGATTTTCTTACAAACAAAAAGCAAGCTCAGGCCCCTGCCCAGCAGCTCTTGCACCTTTGGCTTCAACTGCGGAGGCAACTCCTGCTCGGCCTGGCAAAGATTACGGAGCCTGTGATTCAAGGCTTTAGTTGGTAGCTTCCCCAAAATAGGGGCACCCCAATATAAACCCCAAAATGCCATAATCTTTATCCCCCTAGCTTTGGGAAACCCTCGTGTTTGTCTTGTTCTCATCGGTTAAAAAAAACCACCCTTGATGTACGTCACTGCAGCTGCAGAGCCGGAGGGCCTGGTCTCTTTCTCTCCTGAGCTGATGCGATTTGGGGTTTGGGGTTTAGAGGTGGGTTTTTGTTTTTAAGGGTGTGGGGTTTGGGGGGGGGGTTTAGGGTGCGGGGTTTAGGGTTGGGGGTTAGGGTTTAGGGTTTGGGGGTTGGGGTTACGGGTTTGGGGTTTGGGGTTTAAGGTGAAGGTTGAGGCTGGAGGGTTCCAAGCCATGGAACCACCGAAATAGCCTACTGGTGCTTCAGGGGGGATTCGGGGGAGGGAATCTGGAATATGGGTATCATGATAGAATAGAAGAACCCTAAACCCTAAACCCTACAAGGATCCACTCCGCCCCTACACCTTCAAGAACCTCTGACATGAAAAAAATGTAGCAGCGCTTGTGCCCGACAGGTATTGCAGCCACCATTGTCACTCCCATCCCCTCCGCTATCCAGGATAAGCCAAGCATGAAAAGACAACATGGCTCACTTGGGGAACTTTGGGACCCTGTATATTCTACTATATAATATTGTGTTAGACTATATTGTACTATAGTGTATTATATTATACTATATTAGAATAGTATGAGGGTCAATCCATTCCCGAAGCAAGAGCAGAGCCCAAGGACCTTATCGCTGGCAAACCGAGAGGCTCAAGGTCCCTGTCGTAGACCATGGCAATGCAATTATGGCAAGGCGGCCGCCCCAGATGCTGCCTTTGTGGTACTTGAGGGGGATAACATTCAGCAGATGGGCTCTACCGAAGTGAGGGCGCGTTAAGGGCGAATGAGGTCTGAAGTACCTTCTCAACGCAGGTTCTTTGGAATGGCGCAAAGACGTGGGCTTGGCTGGCTTGGTAGGGTGGAGGAAACCCTAAACCCTAAACCCTAAACCCTAAACCCTAAAGACGCGATGCATTGGGAAAACAGCTGAGCTCCTGGCAGGCAAAATCCAACTGAGGGGAGCTCTGCTACAAAAGCTCTTGCAAATGGACAACTAAGCTGAAAGTTTAGGGTTTAGGGTTTAGGGTTTAGGGTTTAGGGTTTAGGGTAAGTGTGATTTACAAGGGTTGGGGGGTTTAGGTTGTAACTATCACTTCTAAAACACCAGAAAGCTGCCCTCCCAGCAATCTCAGGAAGCCGACATCTGAGCCTCTGACTGAAGGAGTGTGAAGGAGACCTCTTCCTCAAACCTGAATCAAGGTTGAAGAATAGAGAAAACCGTGGGTGTCTTAAAGTAGGGCTCTGGCAACATATGGGGCTAAAAGAAGTCATAGCGTGGGGCCTCCATGCGGGTTATGCCACATACCTTAGGTAAGGTTTCCAAAGGCTGCCATTTCAAAAAAGACCAAGCTATGTCTCTGTGACCAGACTCAAGGACGCATGAAATGCATCGCCCAAAGTGCTATGCTTCCGAGACTGAAGCAATCAGTGCTGTTCTCATTCTCGCTGCAGCCACCACTGCCAGTAACAATTACATTCAAACAACTTCGTCGCACCCTCGTTACGCCATACTACTCCCAGATTTCTTACGAAAGCCTGCCTACTCCAGCTACAGTGGGACCCAGGAACACCGTGGACTCCGCGAGGTTGTCCCGCTGAGTGGACATCCAGCCCCAGTCCATGGAGGAGCGGAACATCAAACTATCCTGCCATGGCATTGGCAGAAGTGTACTTATATCTCCATTCTAAGCCCCCCAAGTGATAAATGCCAGTTGCAATTGGGTTATAACTGCCCTGAACCCTGAACCTCCAGGTAGGGTCAAGAAATTGAGGTAGTAGTTGATGTAGCAAAGAGCTGCGGAGTTCTGGCTATGAGTCTTGCAGTCTTCTACGTGAGACTTCCCTGAACGGCCTCGTTTTTTTAGCCAGCCAACCCCTGGTGCAAGCATAATGGGGTTCAGGGTCAGGACTTGGAACTTTGAGTGCTTGCGGCATGTATGTGCATGTATTTAGGAAGCCCTTTCATGAGAACTACCAACGTAAGACTGCTAGTGGTGATGAGATCCTGCTTTTTCCCGAAGCTTCTGATAACCTTCAGGTCGTTGCAAGAAAGCCCTGGAAAACCCTCGAAAACCCAAATCCAAAACCCATTTAAGGATCCCTTGAGAAAATGACTATGCAAATTAAAACCTAGGTCTGAGCCCCGGAACACCCAAACCTGAATGAATCCCTTTCTCGCTGTTGAATTGAATGAAAATGTTGAACTTTGGCTGGGTTGCCCCTGACAACTTGAGTTGTTCCCTCCTGAATCACATTGTCGACATTTCTCGAGAGCCGAAAAACAAAACGGGCCCAGAACTTTGAGATACGTTGTGGTTTCCTGAGACCCTATATACTACAGTCCTTACAAAGGACCTCCCATAAAGGGCGCCTCCAATTCATGGAGACCCTAAACTGTGATCCCTAAACCTTTTTTATCCACCTACGTTCCCATAGAACCCCTATATCATCCCCTTAAAGGGACCCCCTAAATTGCGGAAACCCCACGTCCAAATGGGAAGCCCACCACTCCCAGCGCCTGCCACGTAGATCGGGTTTCTGGCATTAAGCTCTGGTCTAGCCAGCCTGACCAGCCAAATAACACGGAGCTCAAAACTGCAGCTGCCGTTTTGGTACTGCGGTTCGGAGGAGGATGAGGAAGAGGAGGAGGAGGAGGTGGAGCGCCAGCAGCAGTAGCAACACTGGCACAGTTCACGCACGTCATGCTAAAGCAGCAATCCTCTTCTTCATCATCATCAGGATAATAAGACGGCAATAGTATGTGTCATGACAATACTCGAGACATCTCGAGACACACAGGATAAGACTGTCAACATGAAAACAGCAGCGATACGATCACAGTACTGATGTGAGGGGGGGTGTGTAATAGGTTAAGGTCTTGCTGTTGCTGAAGGGAGAGTGGGGGAGTGGATCCCTATAAAAATCCCTATATAATCCCCATATATACCCCTGTAATGGTACCCTATATTCCCTATATACACTCCGCGACTCACCCTGAAGCACAAGTAGGATTAAGGTAACAAGGCTGTCAAAATCCTGTCAGCGGCAGTGCTCAGTGGTTCACAGAGCAAGATCTTTTTGTCGTGCGATTTAGGGCCTATTTAGGGTTTAAGATTTGCTTTCATAAAGAATAGTGAGGCCCAATATGGACACCAAATACTACATTCATAATTACTGGGACCCCCAAAATGAGAGGTTGCAGCTTGCGGGCTTCTCAAAACATGTCACTTTCATGGCAGGATCTGTGCGGACGGGGGCTGCCGTGCTGAGGACCAGCCGGAACCCGTCAAACAAAAGCCTCAAATCTTCGAAACCAAAAGAAGCAACTCACAAGCGTTCTGCCCTTTTAGGGTTTAGGGCTTAGAGTTGACAGCATCAATTTTAAAACTCCTTTCTTGGAGGGTCGGGGAGCTGGGAAGTAGGAATGTGAAGCCTTTTGCCATCCTGACCAACCCCGATGATCCACTGAACTGGCTTAAACCCAACAACCTTTCTAAGCCTCAAGCCTCCAAAACGTCTTACCGAAAAAAAATGGAACCCTTGCCAGATCCCTGGGAGATCCCATACCATACCCGCCAAGAATCCCTGCCACCTTCCTACACTTTTCGGAAATCCTGGTATAAGCCTGAACCTAGAGTTTAGGGTTTAGGGTGCCTTAAACAAACCCAGGCGCTCTGGCTGTCCGCGATTGCAGCAGGCTGCATGCGGCTGGTCTTCGACTGGCCTCGCCCGACCCCTCACCAAGGGGAAAAACAGGGCCGGCAATGTGGGCCTGCATCAAAAGGTGTACAGACCTGTAAGAGACAACAATATCTTATGATATAATCTGACATAATACCATGTAATGAAAAACTGATACGACGAAATAACATGTGACAGAAAGCTACAACATAAAATCACGCTTCCCACACAAGAGGACCCCCCAATATCCTAAAATACTAGGACGGGGGACTCCCGAATTTTTGGAAAGCCGTCATAAGGTGGTACCCTCTTCAATGCCCTAAACCCTATAAACCCCAAA